GGACCCAGCATTGTCCCTGGGGGCACAATAGTAACAGGAACCCTTATGGCAGAGTCGGGGAGGGTGATATGGGTGGGGGCAGGTGTGCAGAGGCGGGGAGTCGGGGTGCTGGGGGCATCTGCAGTCTGGCTGGTGCAGCAGGTTCAGGGGAGGCAAGGAGGGCAGAGGGATGTGAGGCTGGGAGAGAGGCTGGAGGCTGACTGTGGGGGCCTGTGAGCAGGGGATGGGAGCAGGCGGGGTAAGGATTTACACCTTCCTCATGGGGGTAGATGGGCTTCTGACTTTGGGGGCACCTCCCTCTGAGGTGTCCTGGCCTTAGGGTGGTCCTGAGTCTGGATAGGAACCGCTGTCCTCTTCTGTAGATGAGGCCACTGGGTCCCAGAGAGGGCCAGCTCTGCCTCGAGGCTGCCCAGCCAGGAATGGGACAGATGTCCTGTCCTGGGTCGCTGCTTTAGATGCTCATCAGGATATGCACCACACTGGATGTTCTGAGGACTCCGGGGTCCTCTTTCTGTTCTTGGCTGAGGAAGCAGGGCCCTCAGCCACACTCCTGGGTGGCCTGCAGCCTGCCCTCATCAAGGCCCACCTGGTCCCCACCCCAGGCAGAAGGCCTGAAAAGTCACACCAAGAGAGCAGACCAGGTAAGCTTCATCCTGCGAGAGGATAAAGGAGAGCCGTCGGGAGCTAGAGGCAGGAGGCCTTCATGACTAACTGGAGGTGAGAATCAGAGAAGACTGCCTGAAGGAGGAGGCTTTGGCTGGCGGAGGGTGTGGGGGGAGACAAATAGAAAGAATGGTCCGAGGCAGATGGTGATAGGTCTTAAAGGCAGTCTCTCTTTCTCTCCATCTCTGTTCTCTGTCTGTGTTTCTCTCTCTCTCTCTCTGTTTCACTTTCTCTGTCTCTGTTTCTCTCTCTTCTGTATCCAGTGCCATGGGAACTGAGGGCAGAGTGGAGCCGTCAGACTTGCTTTAGCTAATTACTTGACTGTGGACATAAAAGGAGGATTAGCTGGGCTCTTGCGGGGTCCTCCCTGGCTCCCTAATCCCGTGGCCCCCTTTCCCTGGCGCGGAAGCGAGTTCCTCGCTTTGCGTCCCTAATTAGCTAATTATGCCTTGGCTCTGTGACCCTGGGACTCTCTGGGCCCCAGGGAGGACTGAGAAGTGAGCTGGGGCCCAGCTCAGCGGAGGGAGAAAGGAGGGGAGGAGGGACCCGGCTGCCATTCAGGGAAGCCAGCTGGGCAGGTTTTCAGGAGCCTTTCAGAATTTCAATATCCCAGAGAACTGGGAGATGTAATTAATTGAGCCACAAAGGCTGGGCCCAGGGGAGCAGGCAAGGAGCAGCCAGGCTGGGACTGTGTGGAACAGCCTCCTCCAGACCTTTCTGATGCAGCCCCTTCTCACAGCCGCTGCCTGGCCCTCCGCGCTTGCCTCCAGCCTGTCTCGGCCTCCAGGATTGCTCCTTCCCCCGTAAAGCCCAGAGCTGACGGAGGGCCCCTCCTGCTTAGACATCTGCCCATGGGCCTCCCTGACCAGCCACCGAGCAGAGAGCCCCACTCTCCTCAGACCTCCAAGTGCGGCCTGGATGCCTTCTCTGGACAGTCACGCTCTGTGCTTTGGCCTCAGCTTCTGTATCCTGCAGGGCCCAGCTCAGTCAGCCCCTTCAGGAATATGCCTGAAGTTGTCCCCACTCCCCAGGCATGGTCCCTTTCCCCAACACTGTGGCTCCCTGCTGGTAGACTGCAAGCTCTGAGGGGGTGAAAAAGGCAACATGGGATTCCCATGTGCCTAGTACTGTGTCTGGTATGTAACAGTATTTATAAGTGTTTGATGAATGACTGAATGATGGGGCACCAGAATGGCCTGCAACTGACTTACATACCATTTGGATGGATTACAGGGTGCTTGCTCTGTTTTCTTACTTCCCTCTTCTGCACACCCCCTGGTTACCCTGTTGGGAGGCGGTTGTGGCGAGGTGGGTATCGAACCTTCACTCACCCTGGCTTGCTCTCGATTGGAGATCAGGAGCCTGCGAGGGAGCCCCACTGCTTTCCCAAGAGGAGGCTGACCTAGTTTTGTGGGGAGGGAGGATGGGGGTGGGCATTAATTATTGATTGGAAATCACTCCATACGGAGCTTGTGATGCAAATCCCAAATAATTACCCTCGTTAATATCCACCTCAGCAATCGCCCTGGAATAAATAAAAGTCTGGACAGGGCTACTGTTCTCCTTGTCACCACCCTTCCATCCTCCCCTGTTCAATATTTCAATCCCTCCCCATGACTTATCACATCATTCATTCATGAACAGCCATTCAGTAAATGTTGGCTGAGGCTCTGCTCTGGGCCAGGACCTGCTGGGTTCTGGGAACACTGAGGTGACTCAGACACAGGCTCTGCCCTCAGGAACTTACAGCCCAGTGGAAGAGACAGGAAAGTAAACAGATGATTGTGCACTAGGGCTAGAAGAAGACTAGATGTTGCTGTAAATGGTACCTCCAACGTTGTGCAGTATGCAACCTGTGCAACTGTACATGGCAGCCTAGGCTAGGTTGGAGGCGCTGAGGTTGCCCAGAGCAGAAGAGAGAGAGACTTGGTGAGAAAGAGTATGGAAGTCTTCATAGAGAGAAAGTAGATCCTTAACGGAGCTGTGGTGGCTGAATAGGGGTTTGCCAGGCACAAGAGAGGTGGAAGATTGTTCTAGAAAGAGGGAACGGCATGAGTAGAAAAGCATGGAGGTGTGAAATACCATGGTGTCTTTAGGGAACTTTAAATAATTTGGTATTGCTAGACACAGGGTGCACACTGGGGCAGGAGGGAGAGACGAAGATGAGACTAGAGAGGCAGGGGTCACAGGGATCACAGGATCTTGTTGGGGGTGTGACCCACCAGCTCTTGACACCCTTTGGGGCCACAGATACTTGTGTGGACCTTCTCAGAAAAATTCATGACATCATACCTGCATATTTTATAGCAATTCCATGAGGTTCATGTAGTCCTTCCAGGGACCTCCCCCTGCCTGCTAGGGGTTCACAAACCCCAGCTTCTGTAGCTGTTGGGAATGCCAGCAGGTTTCACACACAGTGGTGACATGTTCAGAATAGTGTTCTAGAGTTGGCATTATCAGGAATCAACCCTTCTCTGTCCTGGTCTCTGCTTTCCCTGGGCTGACTTCAACCCCAGGCAGGCTCTGTCCTCCCCAGGCAAGAGGGCCCCAGCTGCTCCAGGCTTAAGTCCTCCCAGCTTGGAACCTCTGTGGAAAGAGAGCATCTCTTTTCCTGTAGTTCCAGCAGAAGTCTCAGTGCCGCCTCTCATTGGGCCTGGGGTCACGTGCCCATCTGGGATCAACCACTGGGGCTGGGGGAGCAGAATATGCTGATTGGCCAGGCCTAGATCATGTGATCTCCTTGTCAGCCCACCCAAACCACAGGGACTGGAATGGGGGCGTGGACTCTTAGGACTGTGGAAGGAGGGGATGGGCAAAACCACAGAGGCTTGCAGTCCTGTGGATTCTCCAGCGGCTGGGTGGCTGGATGTTCTTGCGAGGAGTCAGGAGAGACTGGGTGACCTGCAGACAGTTACTGAAGTTGTGATGGTGGGTGACTTCTTCCAGACTTGGGAGAGCTGGGTCCTTTTCACAGCTGGGGACTGAGCCTCAGAGAGAGGGGGAGAGAGGGCATAGAGGGTGCAGTTGGGTGAGCCCAGGGCAGGAGGGGCAGAAGGAAAGGCTAGGAAGACAGAAGTGAAGGATGGTAAGTGTGTGGAATGGGGCCAGAAGCTGAGCACGTTTTCCATTCTCTCTGTGGGTGGGAGCCCCAGAATTTGCTGAGTTGGGTGTGGCCCCTGAGCTAGGGAATCTTTGCATGGCGGTTGCTGTCTTCCTGGGTCCCTTTGCTGAGTGGCCTTGTCCTCCAAGAGGGGAGGGGACTGGTTCAAGGTCCCACAGGTCCCAGAGACCAGCAGGGTGGGGATTTGAACCCATGTCTCTCTAAATCAGAGGCTTCGTGCTTTCCACAGGCTTCCTCTCCCTACCTGTGGGGTTTCAGGACGTCAGACCACTGCCTCCACCGCCACAGGAAGTGACTATCATGTTCTGCTCCCCTTCCCATGCCTGCCTGAAGCCCCGTTCAGTTCACCCTGTCACCCTCCCTGGGGATGCCTGTCTCCCCTCCCAATTTCTCATTTTCTCCTCCTCACCTCTAGCTTGGCTCATTCTTTGCAATTGTTTCTCAGAAAAGGAAAAGACCTCTTTCCCTGGCACCAGGCCAGGTCTGAGTCCTCTGGCTGGCCGTGGTTCTTCAGAGCTCCGCCTGGTTCCATCATGCAGTGGAGTGGGTCAGCAGAGTGCCTCTGGCTGGTACTGATGTGTCCTGGCATGATCAGGGGACAAGCGACGGCCCCGGAGATGAAGGACATTCAGCACACACTTATTAGGCACCTGCTATGCCCATCCTACGTGGGGGCTGGGCATGGTGAGATGAGCCCACCTCAGTCCCAGGCCTCTGGGTCCTTGGGGTTGTGGAAAGAGTGCTGGACTTGGTGTCAGGACACCTGGTTTAAGTCCAGACCCTCTCCTTCTGCTGTGCAAACTTGGGCAAGTAGCTTCAGTCCTATGAACCTCCAGTTGCCTCTTCTATAAATTAGGGGTAATAGTACCACCCTCACAGAGTTGTCATGGAGACCAAAGGAGATCATATTTGTGCACTACCCAGAAAAGCACCTGGCACATAGAAGTTGCTCTATAAACACCTGCTTATTTATCTGTGATCTAGTGGAAGTGAGGTGGGGCCCAGAGCCATTTCCATGGCCTCTGGGTGGAGGGGCAGATACCAAGGAGAAGGTCTGTCTGGTGGCCACTGAGCAGACTAGGTGCAGTGAGGAGGCCCTGCCCACATGTCTCACCTCTCCTCCCACCACCTCCTGTTTCTCTAACTCTGCTCCCCCTCTCTCCTCTCTGGGACCTCTGCCTCTGTCTGCCAACCCCTCCACCCTTCCCTCTGCCAGGTATGCGGATCCTGGTGAACCTGCTCCTGGACACACTGCCCATGCTGGGAAATGTCCTCCTGCTCTGCTTCTTTGTTTTCTTCATCTTTGGCATCATCGGCGTGCAGCTCTGGGCAGGCCTGCTGCGCAACCGCTGCTTCCTGGAGGAGAACTTCACCATGTGAGTGCAGCCTCTGGCCCCCCGCCCTGTGGCCCCTGGCCAGCTTTCCCTGGGGCAGCAGTGGGGCTGAATATTTTAGGGCTAGGAATGTCTCCCCATTGACCACCTGGTCCCAAGCCTTATTCCCAGTGGCACAGAGAGATGAAGGGATGTGCCCAGGTGAGCTGGTAGGGGATCTCGCATGAATGGTTGGACACCAAATGAGCACAGAAGACCTCTGAGCTCTCAAAACTGATATCACAGAGTCCTAGTCTAAACAGCTCCTAGTGACTTGTACTTAATACACAGTTTTACCTTATTTGGGAATTGAGAATTGGGGCCAAAGAATGGAAGCAGCAAACTAGAAGGTTGGGTAGGAGGGGAAAGGGCAGTTGAGACCCCAGCAGAAGTGATGCCAACAGGGGAAAAGAAGACAGAAAACCTTAAAAGCAGACATGGAACCCGGCTCTCTAATTACAGCCCAGACATTCCTATCAGTGACTCTGAGTCATCAGGAAAAGGTCGGCTTGCCCTCGGTCCACTTGTGTCTAAGAGCAATGCAGCGGGCAGCTTCTCAGAGAGATGATTATCCAGAGCTATCTAAACAGAAATCAAGCTTTGGTTCTTGGAGGAGTTGGGTTGCATTGTCTGAGGAATTTGACATCTATAGTCTCAGCGGAGAGGGATGAGCACTGTCTCTGAGTGTACACACGTGCCCATGTGTCTTTGGACATGACTTTGATTTCATTTCACTAACGTGCGTTAGTGCACTCCTGCTGTGTGCCAGGCCCCAGGGGCACAGACGTAAGAAAGCATCTTCATTCATCCTCTCACTTGACAAACCCACCAAAGGGGCGGCTCTTGCCCAGCTGGTGCTCAGGGCTGAGGACACGGTAGAAGGTGGAGTTCCTGCCCTCGGGGAGCGCCCTGGCTGGAGCTGGTCACAGATGCCTCCCCTGAGTGACTTTTGTGGACTGAGGATGACCTCAGGAGCATGGGGACCCGCACAGGCGTGGGCTGGTTTCTCCTTCACAGCCTGACTGTTGCTCGTGGGAAAGGAGCTAAGCTGGAGAGCCGGGAGGAGGCCTGGGAAAGGGACTGGCTCACCTGCCCATCACTGGGGGGGAATGACGGGGGACCTGGGCCAACCAGAGATGGGGCCCCTTTGTGGGTAAGGGCCCTATGGCAGGGAAGGGGACCCACACAGTCAATCATTTGGAAGAGTCAGGCCCTGAGGCTCGGTCTGGGGCAGCAGGAGAGGGGGCCCCTGCTTCTTCTGGTCTGGCCTTCAAAGATGGAGACGCACAGGTAGGAGCTCTCAGCTTTGGGGGTGCAGGGCACATCCAGACCCCTCTGTCCCACTCAGATCTTTCCCACGGTCGTTCTGTGGCAGCCGCCTTCTCATTATCCCAGCTCAGCCCCAGCGTTGCCTCCTCCTGGAGGCCTTCCCTCAGCACCCCGTCCCCCAGACCTTTTATTGCATTATCCTGCTTGATTTTCTTCTTAGCATTATCTCTGTTTGAAACTACCTCACTTGTGAGTTCATCTGGTTGTTGAGTGTCTCTGGACCAGCTTATTTACTTGGTTAGCAGTGAGGAAGCACTCCTGTGTGACAGGGGCCGTGGAGGTGATGCTGGGCTTTTGATCCCATGTGGAGACCCGGAAACTGAGGCTGAGAGAGGAGAACCTTGCTCCTGGGCACATAGCTTGGCAAAGTCAAAAACAGAATTAGAACCTGGGTTCCCCTGACTCCAAAGCCTGTGGTGACTGCCCCCTGTGAGTATGCTCAAAGCATCCATCCAGGGGTGGAAGTCCCTGGGGAGACTGCAGATGGTCAGTTTGGGCGTTCTTGATGAGCACAGAATAAGGACAGTGTCGCCCAGCTAGGAAGTGGCAGGGCCCGGAGTCTGAGCCCAAATCTGGTGTCCCTTCTCCCAGAGTCTGTCTGGGCATTAATGCACACATACCACTGTTTACACCCCAGAATGCGAATTGCTTTGGCAGTGTGTCTTCACATCAGTGTTTCTTATTCCACGGATGAACCGCGGTTCAGCAAGCCAGCTTCTGTTGATGTACCTTGCACGGTCTCCAAGTTCTTGCTCTTAACATACAAGCCTGCAGGGAACATCGTGTATGCTTGCAAAATGTGTATACTCGTGTGATTAATGACTAGACTCATAATTACTGGTCAAGCTATAAGACATACCTCGGAGATACTGTGGGATAGGTTCCAGACCCCAGCAATAAAGCGAGTCACATGAATGTTTTGGTTTCCCAGTGCCTATCAAGTTATATTTACACTATACTATAATCTACTAAATGTGTAATAGCATAAAAATGAACATACCCCAATTAAAAATTACTTTATTGCCAAAAAATACTAACCATTCTCTGAGCCTTCAGCGAGTTGTGGTAGTAACATCAAAGATCACTGATCACAGAGCAACGTAACAAATATGATAATAATG